TAAATGGTATATAAATATGTAATCATTTTCGTGATTCTCTTTAAAGATATAAAATATTTATATGCTTTTCACCAAAGTTTTATATACATATTCACAATTTGTGTTTCGATACCAGAGAAAGAGACGAGAAAACTACCTCTTTTCAATATTATTATATATACTCTATGGGCAATCACACCAGCTCCCTCTGATTAACGTAGAAATGGGGTCGTAAGAAAACCATTTGCACGCAACAAGAAAAACCAATGATTCTAAATATGACCGCATATTATTATTGTACTATATTCTCATATATATATATAATATATCTGTATATATAATTGTTCCGACTTTATTGTATACCGAACAATATCTCATTACAATTTTTATAAAATCATTTATAATGGATTATATATGAAACACTTTCTATAATCTTTATTTCAAAAGGAAGAGAATCATTGTTAATCTTCTTCGGTTTAAATGTGGAATTATTTGAGTTTTATTCGACTGGAAATGGTTTTTAATTGATTTAATGAAATGAGAGATTTTAAATTTAGTGTCTTCATTTTTCAAAATAATCTATAGAAGCAGCAGAGTTTCTATCTAGTTTCCAACTAGTTTCTATCTAGTTTCCATTTAGTTTTCATCTAGTTTATAACTAGTTTCTATCTACTTTCCATTTAGTTTCCATCTAGTTTCCAACTAGTTTTCATCTAGTATCCAACTAGTTTCTATGTAGTTTCTATTTAGTTTCCATCTAGTTTCCATCTAGTTTCCAACTAGTTTCTATCTAGTTTCCATCTAGTATCCAACTAGTTTCTATGTATTTCCCATTTAGTTTCCATCTAGTTTCCAACTAGTTTCTATCTAGTTTCCATCTAGTATCCAACTAGTTTCTATGTATTTCCCATTTAGTTTTTAACTAGTATCTATCTAGTTTTCATCTAGTATCCAACTAGTTTCTATGTATTTCCCATTTAGTTTCCATCCAGTTTCCAATTAGTTTCTATCTAGTTTCCATTTAGTTTCCATCTAGTTTCTCTACAGTTTCAAAACAATCTAGAATCACTAGAAAGATACCACATAGTTTTAGCATCTAGAAACTAAATAGTATAACTGTCCTGAACTTTCTAAATGATTTAAATGCATCAGATAAATTCCACATAGTTTAATTATCCTTGAAACTAGACGGTATGATTGTCCTGATCTTTTTAAAGTAATCTATAAAAACAGTATAGTTTCTGTATATTTTCTACAAAGTTTCTGTATAGTTAAGTATCGAGAAATAAATAGTATAACTGTCCTGACTTTACAAAATAATATATAAAAGCAGTATAGTTTCTATACAGTCTCTATCTAGTTTCTATCCAGTTCCTATATAGTTACAATAACACTTTCTACATAGAAATAATATATTATATTAAAATAATATATAGAAGTATAGTTACTATATAATTTCTATCTAGTTTCTGTCTAGTTTCTATCGAGTTTATATAAAGTTTCTTTAAAATTTTCTATATAGTTTCTATACAGTTTCTGTATAATTAAGTATCTAGAAAATAGATAATATAACTGTCCTGAACTTTCTAAATAATCTAGTTGCTCCAGATAAATTCTATATAGTTTAAGTATGTAGAACCTAGATGGTTTAAATGTCCTGACTTATCAAAATAATGTATAGTTTCCATACAGTTTCTATAAAATTTTCTACATAGAAATAATATATATTAAAATAATATATACTTTCTATCTAATTTCTATCTAGTTTCTATCTAGTTTCTATCTAGTTTCTATCTAGTTTCTATCTAGTTTCTACCTAGTTTCTACCTAGTTTCTACCAAGTTTCTACCTAGTTTCTACCTAGTTTCTACCTAGTTTCTACCTAGTTTCTACCTAGTTTCTACCAAGTTTCTACCTAGTTTCTACCTAGTTTTTATCTAGTTTCCAGATAGTTTTCATACAGTTTAACTATTCAGAAACTTTTTGGTTACATTTCTAGCTAGTTTCAGCTAATTTCCACAACACAGTGATTATGTAAAAAATAGTATAACAGCACCATAACTAGTATAGAAACAAAATATTTCCACCCACTACAAATAGCGGCAATCAGCGAAAAGAAATATGCATTTTTAAATCGATTGAAAAATCGATAAATTTCAATTCATCCCAATATGTGGTCTAGTTAAAATGAAATAGGCTCACGTTCTCGAAGAAATTTTTTGGCCAAGATAGCAGCCCCCCCGCAAAGTTTTGCCAGCCGAATTCCAATGATCGTTTTATCGTTTTCTCAAGTTGATTTGCTATAGATTTTTAAAGTTCGAGACGACCTCCCTTTGAGCTTTCAAAAATGCATGCCAAGGGTGTCTTTACGTTGTCTCTCAATATTCCTCACTGACTATATATATATATAAAAAAAAGAGAGAAATAAAAAAAAAGTTGGGGGGAGAAAAAAAAGAACGCTCTCTCTTTTGCTGAGAACCAAGTGATCTTGAGTAATCGTTGGTCCTCGTCGTTGTTGTCGACTTGTGCAGATGGAAAGAGGAGAAGATGAAACTGAGGTGATGGATTTGGGTGGAAGTGCCGACACAACGGCGACGACAACGGGCGCGAAAACTGACTTTTCTCTCTTTGCACAAAGTCCTGTATATATATATATATATATATATATGTTATATGTACCTTTACTTTAACCCGGCGGCAATACTTCTTTTTACAAAAATTCTTTTCTTTCTTTTACAAGAAAACAACTCAAATGAACTGCCACCCATTCTTTGACAAAAGAATATACACTATGAATGTATGTATTTCGTATTATTACGTCCCTTATATACTTTAAGCATATTGTTTTTCTCTAAAGAGCCGGAAATATTTTTAATCAGCATTAAGAGGATAAAAACATTTTTTTCCCCTAACAAAAAAAAAACTCGTCTTTTTAAAAACATTTTTTCAAAAAAAAAATATTCATTTAGAAAAATGATTGAAGAGAAGAGAAAATTGGTATATATATATATATATATAAATATATTGATGGTGTATATATGTGTTATGGATGTGCACCCTTTTGGATATAAACTGCTTTTATTCGTTCCTATCAATATATGCAAACTTTATAAATCGATAAAACATTCATGGACTATAGAGTGTGCCGGTGGTCTGTACGAGGACATAAGACCGCCTGTGGATAGTAAACTTCCAATATGATATATATATTCTGTTCCTTGTGGACACACCAGTTTAAGATTAGTAACAGGGGCTACTCGTGTATACTTTATTTTCTTTATTTCCGTCTCTCAGAAAGAAAAATTGCATTGTTTAAAAATAACTCTCATTTAAAAAAAAAAAACACAAAAATAATATCCCTATATACATTTATCATTAAAATCTTTTATAGGTATATCATTTAAATTTGAAATTTGAACTTTTTTTTCGATTACCTCGACGAACATTTCGTTAATCAGAATGAAAAAAGGAAAAAAGTATTTTAAATATTGAATTAAAAAAAAAAAAATTCAAAATTGTTAAATTTAAAACATTTACTACCTTGGTAACGGTTGCTATGGTATCGGTTGCTATAGTAACGGTTGGTATAGTAACGGTTGCTATGGAAACAGTTGGTATAGTAACGGTTGCTGTGGAAGCAGTTGCTATGGTAACGGTTGCTATGGTGACGGTTGCCATGGAAACTGTTGCTATGGAAACTGTTGCTATGGTAACGGTTACTATGCTAACGGTTGCTATGGTAACGGTTGCTATGGAAACAGTTGCTATGTTGACGGTTGCCATGGTAACGGTTACTATGGTAATGGTTGCTATAGTAACGGTTGCTATGGAAACAGTTGCTATGGTGACGGTTGCCATGGAAATTGTTGATACGGATACGGTTACTATGGTAACGGTTGGTATAGTAACGGTTGCTATGGAAACAGTTGCTATGGTGACGGTTGCCATGGAAACTGTTGCTATGAATACAGTTACTATGGTAACGGTTATCATAGAAAAGAAAATAATACAGTTGACCCTCGATAACTATTTAAATATATACAATATTGACTCGTAATTAATTAAAAATCGATTACAAAAAAATTATATTAAATTAATTTTTTTACTATTTATAATCATTGCCATAATATACAAAGGCGAGTGTATATTCATTTCATAACTAATGAAAAATGAACTCTTATCGAGGGTAAACTGTAAGGATTTTTTTCAAAATTTTACTAGGGGTTTTTTCCAACTCTCTTATCGGTGCCAACAAAGTATACAAATTTTTTTTTTTGTTATAAATCCCTAAATGTATAACCCTCTTAGGTAAGGAGAATCTTATCGAGAGTTTAATGTAGACAAAACAGTATGTGGTATACACGAAAAAAAAATTTTTTTTTTTTTTTTTTGATAAACTCTATAAATTTCATAAATAGCATCATATAGGATTAGTAAAATTGAAACTAAATCCCCTTTTTGAATCATCACATATCTATACACTGTAATAATAATAATAACGAAAGTAAGCCTCGATTTAATCGATCGAGGTTACATAAATTATAGGCTTTATTACCAAACAATTATGCGATATCTTTAGTTTGTTGGGGAAAAAAAAAAAAAACTAGCAGTGTGAAAGTATCCGATATTTAATGTCCAACTATACTCATACGTGGAAATACGTAAAAATACGTACTCATATTTGTAAATATATATATATACACCAACACTATTAAGATTGATCGCGAGCTTTCTGGGAAAAGTTGTAAATTCACAGAGGCTGATTATAATATATATATATTTATAAACCCCGGTAAAACGTCCATTTGTCGTTATCTATTAAAAGATGACTCTATGTTTTGTATCATATAAGTGCATTAGTGTTTTTTCTAAAATCCATTTTTTTTTAATATTATTAAAAAAAAAACTTTTGATTTGGAGGAAGCAATTCATATCGAAGTAATATTTTAATTTTGTTAAAAGTGTGACAAAAAAAAATTTAATTAGCATATATTAAATTGATATGATTTTAATTTACTTACGATAAGGTGCGTTGTGATCATCAAGCTCAATGGCTCTGACCTCGCGATCGATTACGGTAATATTGCCGCTGCTGCAAGTCGAGTAGAGACTCACGGAGCGCACCATTGCCGGAACCGCCCCGCGCATCACCACCTGAAATTATCAATTTTTTGTTTTTTAATAAAATAAAAATTTTTCAAATTCTCTTTTTTTTTAATACAATTTTTCTACAATATTAGAATTATTTTAAGTATTTAGAATCAAAGAAAGTGCTTTAAAACAAAGAAAAATAAATTTCTCTAAATCAACAAAAACTTTTTTCTTTATGTATACTCAATACACCCAGAGAAATAATATATTTGTCTCACAGTCTAATAAATATTTATTTGATTCAAATCAATTTTTAATTGATTTAAATAAATTTTTATTTAATTGAAATAAAGTTTTTAATTTGATTAAAATAAATTTTTATTTGTTTCAAATAAATTTTTATTTAATTTAAATAAAAACGTTTTTTGTAAGAAAGAAAAAAAAAGTTAAATAATTTCGATGCGCGGCTATTTATCAAAAAAAAAAAAGTTTAATTTTCCCTAAGGTTCAATGACCGTCGACAACGACGTCGTTACGAATAATATACCAAAGGAACACACGTAACCTCATGGGTTTATCCTGATCGACTTTTACGATCGATTCGCATATCACGCGACATCGCGGAACATTTGCAACGATACTTTTTGTAAGTCATCGCGTCTCTATTATTCTTCTATTGAAAGCAAATTTACGAAACCATTAACTTTTATTTTTATTACTTTATTTTTGCAAATATATATTTAATCTTATATATGTATATTGTATAGTCAATCAATAAATATAAAATAATCATTATTACAATTTTTTTTTTTAATTTTTACAATCAAAATTGTCATTACAAGCAATTTTTAACTAAAAGAAAAAAAAATTTTTTTTAAACAAATGTAGAGAAAAATATAAAGGAATTTAAAAATTGTAAATAAGGATATTGAATTTCATGTTATTATAAAGGCAAAAATATATATATATATTTTTTTGCGAAGAGGAAATGCGCAAATTAAAAGGGATATACAGGGTGTTCCAAAAGTATGGAAACTTGCAAATATCTCGAAAAGTACGAATTTTCGTAAAAAATGTTCAATACAAAAGTTGTTCCAAATAAAAAGATCTACATTGTTGAAACCAAAAAATTGGGCCCCTGGCCCAATGTTGGGCCCTACAATGAAAAAAGTAGTTTTCTTAAATGAGACCACCAATTTTGAATATCAAATTCGTAATCGTAAAAATATTGGGCCCAATCCAAGATATCGGGCCCAACATTTTTCGACAAACAAAAAAAAATTTTTTAAATCGTATATTTGGGGGTTTTTGGGGTCACAGGATTACAAAATTCAAAGCTACTTTTCAAATTGGGCACAGAGCCCAATGTAATTCCGCGGCCCAATGTAAGGCCCACAGTAAAAAAATTAGTTGTCTAAAATAAAACCCACTAATTTTTAGTATCCATTTCGTAATCGTCATGAAATTCTGGATTTAGTTTTGTAGTACAAATGGCAAAAATATTGGGCCCAATGTCTAGGATTGGGCTCAAAATTTGTTGACATAATCATAATCGTTGTCATAATAATCATAATTCTAGTCTCAAACTTGTGGTACAAATTACAAAAATATTGGATCCAATCCCAGACCTTGAGCCCAACATTCAACATTTTTCTACAAATCAATTTATTTCTTTGTCAACAAATTTTGGGCCCAATCCTAGACATTGGGCCCAATATTTTTGGCATTTGTACTACAAAACTAAATCCAGAATTTCATGACGATTACGAAATGGATACTAAAAATTAGTGGGTTTTATTTTAGACAACTAATTTTTCTACTGTGGGCCTTACATTGGGCCGCGGAATCCTACATTGGGCTCTGTGCTCAATTTGAAAAGTAGCTTTGAATTTTGTAATCCTGTGACCCCAAAAACCCCCAAAGATACGATTTTTTAAATTTATTTCTTTGTCGAAAAATGTTGGGCCCGATATCTTGGATTGGGCCCAATATTTTGGGCACTTATACCACATGTCTGAACGCAGAATTTCATGGGGATTACGAATTTGATATTCAAAATTGGTGGTCTCATTTAAGAAAACTACTTTTTTCATTGTAGGGCCTAACATTGGGCCAGGGGCCCAATTTTTTGGTTTCAACAATGTAGATCTTTTTGTTTGGAACAACTTTTGTATTGAACATTTTTTACGAAAATTCGTACTTTTCGAGATATTTGCAAGTTTCCATACTTTTGGAACACCCTGTATAAATAAATAATGTTATATAAGCGTAGGTGTGGAAACCGCAATCATTAATCTATATGGCATCAGGTAAGAACTCCGCCAAATGTAATCGAGTAAGTTTAGTGATTCTTGGCAAAGGGTTAATGCTAGCGCACGCGAACTTTGATGGGTCGACTCTTGGGAAGATTATCAGAATCAACGATCTGACCCAGTCAATCTCGAAAAAGCACCTCTCGAGAAATATATTGCATGTGTAAAAATAACCACACTGCGAATAAAATTTACAGACCCATTGTAAATTACTTTTTACATTAAACCATACATATATACATAAATATAATTTATTTATTCATGAAATTCTAATGAATATCGTGTTTTGTGTGTTTCAACGAAATAAGGGCACGTGACACATTAAAAAAATATATACATGACGTTTTACGAACTAATTAAATAAAATTAAAACAAGATATCATATGAGATACCTAAAAAATAATTTTATTTTTAGTTATAAATTTTTATAATGGAAAAAAAATTTATTTTTAAAGAATCATTTTTTGAATTATAGCTGTACATTTATATTGAAAGCAAAATTATTTATTTTTATCATCAGTATGAATAAAATATTATTTTTAAAGTTGCAATTTATTTCTCGAACCAATAATAACTTGCGTCACATGTTCTTATTAACGATTTTTTTTTGAATTTAAGAATCAGAAACTCACTTACCATCAGGAGGCACAAAATCTTCGCTAAGACGGTAAGCTGTGGTAACCTGTAACAGAAAGCAAATTTTTATTATTTTCTACCGTGTCAAGGATGAAAAACAAAATTTTAAATATGAAATTAAAAAAAAATATAATTATATAATTATAATTTGAAATGTTTCGATTTTTAATAATAACAATAATAACAGTAAACATAGTTATTAATTTTATTATTATTATATATTATTATTATAATAGTTATAATACGTTAAAAATAAATTTTTTTTAATTTGTTTTTGTAAATTCGTGAAAATAGAAATAAAATAATAATAATTATTATTATAATAATCATATTCCAAAATGCCGAAGCGTCGTCAGGCGTCGAAATCACCAGTCTGCAATCTCTTTTCTCTTCATTCAACAACGAAAATAAATGTGAGAAGGAAAAAAGAAAAATGAAAAAAAAGGTAAGAATAAGAGTTCAAAGATAGGTATCGAGATCTCGTGCACAGAGAAGATATCTGGTATCTTAGCCAGGTGAACCTGTCCGGCACGTGCCAAAGAGAAGTATATATATATATTAAAAGAGAAAGAATATAAGAAAGCAAAAGAAAAAAAAATTTATACCAAAAGATACAAAAATTGCTATAAAAAATTTATACATAAAAATTACCCTCAAGATAAATAATAATAATAATAATAATAATAATAATAATAATAATAAAAATAATAAAAATAATAATAATAGAAAAAGATTTGAGAACAATGCCAATTGTTCTTATTAACCAGCGAATTGTTTAAGACGTTGCCAGATCCAATTAAATATGAACACAGAGCTCCTTGGAAATCAAGATTACGGTGACATATTACGAATGGTAAATAATAATCCAGTTGCAAACAAGCTGTGTGTGCGGTTAGGTTAGCCACTGCGCGCGAGTGGAGATTGAAAATGTGTGTTACGAAATGTAAAATGCATCTTGTGTTACATATAAGCGAGAACCTAAACCACCAAGAAACAAACATTTATAATAAGGAACTTCATTTCATTTTTTTTTTTTATCTAAGGAGATCACTTTCTTTTTTTTTAACAAGCCTCGTTTTAAAGTAATTTATTTATTATATTATTTATATATTTTTATAACGATAAAAAAACAAAATTAATAACTCAGTTTTTATAGCACTAATAACCCGTGTAGAAATTTTGAAACCGGGGCCCGATCAGGACCTACTTAGGCCCCGGTCGGATTCCCTGTTTCAACCAGGTCAGGGCCAGTTTAGCGAATTTCTGCACAGGGAAACAAAAATAATTAACTGAATACTTCTCAGAAAAAAATATAATTAAAAAAAAAAAGAATTAACATTGTATTTTCGAGTGCAATTATATAAATATTCGCAATCGATAATGAGCGTTTATATTCATTTATGTATATATATAAAATAAACTATTAGTCAAAGTCGCAATTTAGGTCGAGTATCATATTATCGAAAGAATGTCAAGATTATATATGAGGAAAAAAAAGAAAATATAAACCTAAGATTTAAGTGGCAAAATTCTTTTGCGATGGTCAGTTCATGTTTTTGCTGAAAAACAATTTGCGCGACAAATGTACCTAACTCATTTATCATATGTACACTGCATGCGACATGCATCAAATCATATAATGCGCGCACCGAGCGCGTAACTCGACTCAGGTTTCGAGGTTTAATTGCACCAACGCCGCGACACTTGTACTCCAAGTGCAATGGCACTCAGCTTTTGCTAATCAGGAAACTGGATTTTTAAAAAAAAAAATTTTTTTTTTTTTAAAGGGCAATTAAAAATTTATTTCCAAAGAAATAATTTCCTATTCTCACAAAAATTAGTTGAAAATTATTTATTAATTTAATTTTTCCGTATAGAGGAAATATTTTTAAACTCTATTTTACAATATCTATTATTTTCTTATACAGTTTATTTCCCGAAACGAAAGTATTTTTCAAAGGCAGGTGAGATGGCTAAGTGGCTTCCCTACTGGATTTATGATAACAAGGACCGGGGTTCGATTCTTCACGCCTGCGAATTTTTCTAAATTTATATTTCGTATTTGAAAATAATTATAATCTTCAGTTTAAGAGAAAAATTGTTTAAAATTAACAATTTTAATTAATTAACAATTAATTACAAGTAGTAAGTAGTAAATACAATTAGTAATAATTAGTAACTAGTAAATACAATTAGTAACAATTACTAACTAGTAAATACAATTAGTTACAATTACTAACTAGTAAATACAATTAGTAACAATTACTAACTAGTAAATACAATTAGTTACAATTACTAACTAGTAAATACAATTAGTTACAATTACTAACTAGTGAATACAATTAGTTACAATTAGTTACAATTAGTATCTAGTAAATACAATTAGTTACAATTAGTTACAATTAGTTACAATTAGTATCCAGTAAATACAATTAGTTACAATTAGTTACAATTAGTTACAATTAGTATCTAGTAAATACAATTAGTTACAATTAGTTACAATTAGTTACAATTAGTATCTAGTAAATACAATTAGTTACAATTAGTTACAATTAGTTACAATTAGTTACAATTAGTATCTAGTAAATACAATTAGTATTTTAAAGTAATTTAAAAAATTCAGATATCAAATATCTGTAAAATCGAGATAAAAAAAATGAACGTAACAAAAATTTATCAATTCGAAGAATATTTCAATAAAGTTGACAATATCTTAAAAATTGTGCCACATATATGTGTGAAAATAACTTTCAAGATCTTAACGATCATTTATAATGTGTCGGTATTTATATATTTACCTCGCGCTCACATTTCCTACTTTGTGTGTTAGTAATATGTTGACGAGCTCATGTATATAAAACCAGTCGTGTTTCTCTTAATAATTTTCCTTCATTTCAAATAAAACACATATATACCATTTCCATTCAAATATGACTTGTTACGTTGACTACTTGTATAAGTAAATTTAAATTAATTAATTTACTTTTCAAAACAAAAAAAAAAAATCTACACTACATAAATTGTAAAGAAAAATAAAAACCGGAAATATCTTGTAAATCCACCCTCACAAATATATATCAACTATTTATTTGAATTTATTTTCAAATGTTATTTCCATCGACAGAAATATTGGATATTAAAACCACATGAATATATAAGTACATAAATTGCGAATATGTTGAAAATAATTTATCAACATGCTTAATTCATGCTTTGACATACGGCAACGTGTGATTTGAAAATAATTACCTTGCAGTTTGTAATTCGTGATTAAATAACAGTCACATAATTATGGAAGTAAAAAAAAAATTTTTTTTTTACATAAAAGGAATTTTATTGACAAATTTCTTTTCCGTACATTTAAATTCTATATTTCTTGTTTTAAAACGTCATAAATAAATTTTTTTATAAATCAAATAAAAATTATTTGGTTCAAATTAATATTTATTTAATAACGAAATTTTTTAATCAAATTTTGTTATCACTGCATAGTAATAATCTCGAAAAAAAATTAAAATGCATGCAATAGAAGAATGTTGATAATAAAAGAATTTGAAAATTATTTTTAAATCGGAAGTATATAAGAAAATAACAATTTCCTTATTTCATGAAATGAGGCTATATACGATATGAGTGACGTTGGTATTAAGCGTGCATTTGAAACGTCAGGAATTTCCGATCGTTATAATATAATAAAAATTCCAAAGATGTGAGAATAATTCTTTTTTTTGATTCTTTCAAGACTTACCAGATAATTATAGTCATAACTATGCGTATGACCGGCGTTTGTGCGTCATCCCAGTTCAACTTATAAGTCGTTCCAATTATCGCGAAAGAGAGAAGACAAATATCTAGCCGAGGATAATTAATTAAGCAAACTATTTCCAGCCGGCTCTAATTATGCGACTGTCGATCTTCTACTGTCCGAAAAAAAGACGAAAAAAAAAACGATGACTAAATTCACAACTACATTATCGCTTATAAAATTAAAAAAAAAAAAAAACTATATCAACTTCCTCGACTTTTTTCTAAATACAAACATTTTTTTTCAATTTACAAAAATAAAAATTTTAGATATATAAAAAAAAAATTGTCTTCTCCACTTGACAACTCGGTCACTTCGATAGCAGATTATAACGAAAAAAAAGAATCACGAATATCGGATAATATCGGCGTTTGTACAGTATTTATAGCTTCTCTCTCTTTTTTGGATAGTGACAACAAAAAAATATGGGACACTATGAAAAGAAGCTTAAAGAAGCTAATGAAACTTTTTTTTTTTTTTTCTAAACACACACAAAAAAAAATCTTTTTAGTGAAAAATGAATGAATGACAACAACACTTGGTCCAAAAAAAAAAAAAAAAATAACACTATAATCCCCTGGTCACCGCGCGAGATGAACCGGCACACATTGAATGTGCCTCCTCTCGGAAGATATTCCGGCCTAACACCCTTGGGCACGTGGGGACTCATCTAAAGGGGAATTTCAGTGGGGATTTGTGTCGCCGGTCGCGTGAAAAACTACCAACACTTGAATAGGTCCCGGCTCCATCATATGACAAAAAAAATGAACGCTTCAAACATATATATGACTCTCAAACTGACCGACCGCACACACATGACCTAGGATAAAGCGCAATATATATATATATATATATATATATGTATATATATCGACAGAAAATTCCGCGTTCTCGTCCCTTCGTCATCACCAATTCTATATATGCAAAGTGGGCACTCGAGTGAGAACCCCTCTCGAATCCACGAGACAGACACACGATTCAATTAAAAGAAACATCAGCTTCGAGTTTCAATTGGTAAAATAGTCTCTGATCAATGGGGGATTATCAATTCGAAATGGATACCAAAGAGAGTGAGAAAGAGAGAGAGAGAGAGAGAGAGAGAGAGAGAGAGAGAGAGAGAGAGAGAAAAGGGTGAAAAAACAATTTTTATGACGCTCTCATGTGTTGACGTTTAATAATACGAGAGCATTTTCGTTATTTAGAGAGGTGATGATTTATATGGAAATTGGGCAAGAAATATT